TTTTTTTTATTACTTAACAAGTATTTTAAAGCGCTTACAGCTGTGAACAACTTATATCATGGGCAGACGGCAACGTTAGTCTGTACCCTCACAGATGGCGGTACATATTGCGAATCCGCCTACCCGTGAGGTCATGGGTTCGAGATCCACGGCCAGCATAATTTCCTTTAACTAGTACAAAAAAGTGCTCATTCTCGTAATGGGCGCGATCCAATTCGAAAATTGTAAGAAGGCTCAGGCAATACTTTCAAATTTGGAATTAGCTAATTGGTTAGTTACTTAGTTTAGTTTTCGGGTTGAGCGCAGCGAGGTACTTTGCAAGAACTTCTGTCCCTTAGGGCCGTTTTCACCATATCTGGTTAGCACTTATACCCAGTTAAACATCGTTGCCGACGCTACTGACTCCATGCATATAATATTGTATTGGTAACGTCGGTAACGATGTTTGACTGGGGATTAGTGCTAACCAAAGATGGTGAAAATGGCCCCTAATGACGACTTCTTAACCTGAAGACGCAATACTTTTTATAGTAAGTAAAAGAAAAAATAGACTTTAAGAGGTTAACTCCGGCTAAATTGAAACGCATTCCCATTTGTGATTTGTGTAAGCAAGTGCCGTTATCCCAGTGAAGGGTTAACTTACAATCGGTAGTTAATTATGATTTTCAGTGCGAAAAGTGAGAGTAAAAAAATTGAAATGTAAAATGTGTAAAGCTGATCTGATCATCCTCACAGTAAAGCCGCCACTAGGGATCTGCTGACAGACCCATCTTATGTATATACGAACGTATACGACTGTGACGGGCTGGATAAATAGGGAGTGAGTTAAGGTTAGCTCTAATTAAAACGAAAAAACAGTACACGGTTAATTCTCGCATGAAATATAATGGAACCATCCACCCATTGAAATTGACACTTTAGTGACGTAATGTCCATAAATACCGATTCTATCAATCATGATGATGATTGAACATACATATCTGATATAAAGGAAAAATATCGGTTTTCTAGATTTATTGTTCTAAGATTTTGACTCTGATTCTATCTAAAGAATGTAGATAACATTTAAAATGGCCTCACAAAGTAAACGTCTTTCCATTGGACCCCAGATTCGAGCCCTGGTCCGAGGCAAAAAAATAGGTTCTCATAAAAAAAACAACTTTGAAGATAAGCTCATACGATTACTAGGTTGGCGAAATATGTGGAGCGCTCGGAATCCTTAATAAATTGCCCAGTAACGTTCAAATGCAAGTTATGATCAATTCATTTGAGCAACGAGATAGACTCAAACTAATTTTAGTACCTAACTCGTTTGATCCGATTATAGACGAAAAAAAATTGCATTTTCAACAATTCTTATCTAATTAGGGCATCAATGTCCGACGATCTTTTTATATGGAGAAAAATGCACAACGCGGTAAACAAAATTTCAAAAGTCTACGGTATTTTGTAAAAAAAGATTTTTTTTTTATAAAATCCATGCATTATTTAACCTATTTGTTCGACCGTCTATCACCCTGACCCCTTAAGAGAACGTGCCAAAAGCTGCATTTAATTGCTTCTTTTTATAAAAAAAAAACCCACCATGCAAAACATGAGAAATAGGCAACAATCGTCAATGGCAACAAATTGGCGATTCATCGATTTATTGCCGTGGTGAAAAATCGGCAACATCAGTTCGCTCATGTCAATTTTGGAATAAATAAGTTGTCAAAAATTCCCATACTTGTCAATTTCGCGTCAACAATATTATCCAAACAGTATTATCGAATTTATACCAAAGACAGGATTGAAAATAGGAATAGGATAGGCCTCAAAGAGAAATAAGGAATTCATTCCGTTTCTATGTTCCAATTTTGTATACAAAAAATAAATGAAGTATTAAAAAAAATAACGTCTGAAGCGATAAGAAAACGACTCCTTCGGCGGACGTTTTACAACGACTGGTAATACGAAATCAATATGATGGCGGTAGTACCGGCAATAAATTTGTTTCCTTGCCGGCAACAGAAATTGTTTGGCGGGAAGGTTTCCCATGAAAATACATTTGCATAATTTAAAATTTGTGTGAAAAAATTAAAAATATCTGTAAAATGTCAGCTGATTCACTGCTACTACCTGGCCAATATTCCTTGGATATTGGATATTTCTATGAAATTTCGATATTGAAGAACTACTATATCCAAGAAAATTTTCTTCATTTTAAAACTCAAGTTCCCAAAATAGCTTTCCTTAAATACAAAAAAAAAATGGCTTTCGATAACCACATTTCACATAAATAATGTGCTCTTATAATTATAATTTATAATTTAATTTTTAGTGAGAAACTCTCATACATTTTTATGTGGGCTTATTTTTCCGGAATGCTTCCTATTTCATATAATTGATTGTCATGATAGGTGCAAATTATCTTTATTTAAGTGTTTACAACTGTAAGTTATTTCCAGCCGATTGCTTTGAAAATACTTCTCACTGCTATTTTTATGGATGTGGTAATGAAAAAAATATTAATTAACTAATTTAAATTCTCGTTCAGAGGTACATAGTACATACGTACTTATGTAACCACAAAACCTTTTGAAATTTTTTTTTAACTTACATGCAACTTTAACTTCTCCATCGGCATAAACGGAAGCAGCACGTGGTCGGTGTGTAACCAAAGCCAACTCTCCAAAATATTGACCTTTGCCCAGTCGGGAGATTTCAATTTCCTTGCCATCCTGATCCATTTTCACAACAACATTACCATCCTCAATGAAGTACATACCGTCGGCGGCATCACCTACATATTTGGCGTAGGAATAAATATGTAAAAATTTAATTTCTCATTTTAATGTTTGGTCGAGTACTCCACCTTGTTTGATGATTCTGTCAGAGTTAGAGAAGTGTTTGGAAACTAGGGCATCAGCCAAGTTCATGCGCTCATAGGACTAGAAGAAATGAAATTTCAGACGTTTTATTAAATATTTTGATTTATGTAAGTATGTATATTAATTAAATATATTCATTCACATGCGTAAACGTTATTGCACGAAAACGAGAATAAGTGTTCAGAGACTTAGAAATTATTTTTATCTTAGAAAAAAAAAATGAAGGCTTGCTTCATCATTGAAAATTTCACAGAAAATTTACCATGGTTTTCTATGTAGAAAACGACCAAAGCAGTTACTACTCGTTTTCAAATTCGTTTTAGATTAAACGATTAACTCTCTTTGAGCACACTCACCTTCAACGCTTTCAACATCGGTACGCTATCCAAAAGTGTTTCGTACATTTTTCGCTTTTTAAAAGCAGATTTCAATAGAATGCGACGGAACGTTTGACGATCCATAGCCCACAGTAGGCCTTCTGTTACAGCTTGTATGGATGCGGCTCTGGAAAAATGGAGTAAAAATTAAATGATGAAATTCAAAATGCAGGAAAAATGCTTGCATTTTTTTTTATTAAATTATGGAATCAAAAACAATCATCTATACATATTTAGTACATATAAAGGAGACGAGATTCTTTGTACGCGGTAATCTCGAAAACTACTGAACGGATTTTGACGAGATTTTCTCTAATATACTCTGTACCGATAGGAGAGTGACCTTTTTTACTTAGAATTTAAATAGGGTTGCCACCTGTATAAAAAAAAACTATAAGATCCGCACCCTTCATTGGATTACAAAAAATGAGGTGTCAAATGAAAGTAATTGGTCTCTAGAAAATCACTAATGTCTAATTATATGAATGGGATTGCCACTTGTCAAGAAAATTACTATATTCAATCCTAATAAGCGTAGGCGTCAGTTCTGCATCGTCACTGTCAAATGAAGAGACTTAAGGCCCGTCCACATAGAACTTTGGCGTTGCGTTGGCGTTGGC